CTTCTTCAAGAAAGCCTCGTGGGACCCATGCAAACTTAAACTCAATTATGTAAAAATTGGGAAAGGAAAAACTTACTTTATTCGAAATTCTGATCAGGTAAAACTGATCTCTTCTTCTTCAAGAACACTAAGATGTACTTGGATATAAAAAAAGATGAGAAAAAGGGAGTGAGAAATTCAGAGAAAAGAAATAAAAAAGAGAATTGTAACGAGATTGTAATTTTGAAAAAATAAAATTTGAATAATTAAACTTTTTTATTTATAATTTTTTTTCTATCTTAAATGGTAAAATTTTAAGCATACATTCATTATACCACTTCTACTTGTAATTCACTTAGACTAAGTCTTCGTTTTATGACAATAAAAGGTTTAACTTTTTTTCTATTAGAATTAATGTGAATCATTTTAAAGATTTGTTTTAAATTGTAGCGATTATATTTTAATATAATTATTTTGATTGGCATTGAGATTAATTTTATTTTTTGACATAATTGTTAAGATTATTTTATTGCCGAAAATTTTCATTAGGGTTAGTTGGAAAATTTCTCCATTTAAATTGTAAAAAAAATTATAAACACAAAAAAAAAATGATAGTATTAAAATATGTCAAGGAAAAAAAACCCTAGTGTAAATCCGTCAAAAAAGAACTAAAAATATTAATTGAGAAAACTTTGGAAAACGAAAAATAAATCTCAATAATATCAAAGGAACATCGATTAAAAAATATTAATTTTTATATTAAAAAAATAATCATAATAACATCAACTATGGATATTAACAAAATTATATAATTTTTTTGTTGAAATTGACGGAAAATCCTATCTAATAAGTAAAAAAAAATTAACCTTGGCCAAAATATAACTTTGATGGATGATATATATATATATATATATATATATATATATATATATATATATATATATATATATATATATATATATATATATATCATCATCATCATCAACTACAAAATATCATAATCCACCCAATGCCATATTTAGTAGAGTTCGAAAAAACAAGTTTATAAAATAAGACATGGATATGAAAGAAAATAAATTAAAAGAATTTTCAAATTCTTATTTTTATATAAAATTTTATAATTTTCAATAATCAAATTACTTCTCAAATTTTTTTTATATAAATATACTATGATATTTTAAATTCTTTTTAAAAATTAATTATTCTCTACAAATTCTAATATATACTAATATTCAACTTCCTTATTTTATTTACAAAACTCACTTAAAAAATTATGAAAAAATTATTTAATTTTTATATTTTAAAACTTGTTTTTATCTTTTATTTGAATTTAATTAAAATGTTATATTTAAATAAAATTAAATAAAATAAAATAAAGAAGTGATTATCACTTTATTGAAACACAGAATATATATATATATATATATATATATATATATATATATATATATATATATTAAAAAACAATAGATAAATATTAGTTTTGAAACTAAAGAAAACGTGACTGAAATTAATATTCTTTTTATTTTTGAATATATGATTTTTTAATGTTTTATTATACAAATTAATAATAAAATTAATTTTCATAATTTATAATAGATTTTTTAATATTTTTAAAAATATCATTGTCATATTATGATTTTCTTTATCCAAATTACTCATAATAATTTAAAAGTACAGTCAGTTTTTTTTTCTTTTTACAAAAGAGAAAGTGAAATTTGAAATTTGTTTTCTATTATTATGATTATTATTATTGTTATTACTATTATTATTATTATTATTATTATTATTATTATTATTATTAGTTCATACAAGTTTCAGGGTATTTCCATAACATACGAATGTAGTCAGATACAAGCTATAATTTATTTAAAGTCTGTAATTTTATTTTTATTTTTACTTATTAAAATCAAGGATATATTTGATAAGAAAACAATTAATGTAATTTTAAAATTTTAAGAAAATGTAAATTTTTTAAGAAAAATAATATATTTAGATAGAGGGAATATGATTGTATAAAAAATAAGTATTTTTTGTCATTATTACGTTATTTTAATTCTTATTTTTTAACATCTCTTTGCTATGTTATGTAAATGTCTTGAATTTAAAGTTTGTGAATGGAAAAATGGGCCCAAATGAATTCATTTTCTATTCTTTTTAAAAAGATAATAACAAAACCATATTGGTGGACCAAATTTGGACCACCTGCCATGAATTTAAAAATAACTATCTTTACCTCGAAACATTACATCAAAATACGTGTGAAAAAAATAAAATCAAGTTTTGACTATTTTCTAAGATATAAAAATTTATCCAAATATAAAACGTATAGTGAAAAATATCTATTTCATTATCCTGAATACGTTTTATATTTTCGCTTCAATATAAGGGGAAAAAAAGGTAAAAGTATAAAAAATATTATTTATAAATTTATATTTTTAATAAAAAATATTTTTATAAACAATATTAATTTTTATATATATAATTTTTATTAATATTATCTTAGTAGAATATGATAAATATGAAAACTAATATAAAATTTAAATCAATAATTTATTATATTCTATATTTTTTAATGTTATTTTATTTTATTAATTTAAATTTAAATATTTTAGAAAAATATAACTTTATTATAAACAAATACTTTCATTAGTTAAAACACTATATATATATATATATATATATATATATATATATATATATATATATATATATATAAACAAATACTTAGTTTTAATTTTTTATTTATTTAAAATAAACAATGTTTGTCCCCTTTACTATTACTTTCCTACTAATAAAATAGAATATTCCATCTTTCATTTTTTTTCTACATTTTCTTTTCTTACAATCCATCAGATCTTAAAGTGTAAAAAAGAAAATAAAGATGATATAAAATAATAAATATTAAAAAGAAAAAAATAAAAGCAAAGTGAAATAAATTAAAAATTGATAATTGATTAAGTTTGACATGATAGAATTAAAAAATAATTAATTAGGTAATAAATTAAATTAACAAAGTAGTTTTGATAATAATTTAATAAAATTGAATTAAAATTGAAAATAGTTAAATATTAAAAATTTATTTTATAAATTAGAAATAACATTAAAAAATATTTTTACAAAAACTCTAAATTATTTAAAAAATATATTATAAATTATGTATGACTTTTTTTTCCAAATACAAAAATATAATAAAAATTAAATGAAAAATATAGTTACATATTAAACTGACATATATAAAAAATATACATTCATAATTTATACTTCAATATAATATTTAAGTAAAATTAAAAGAAGTGTTTGAAAATAAAATTAATTTCATTATAAGAAAAACATTATTAATATTGTTGTGACAGACAAACCAAACAATGGTGATATGAAATTTGCTAATTACAGTTTTGGTTAAAACTCTTTAATAAGTAGGGATGGCAATTAAACCCGTACTCGTGGGAACGACCCGTCCACCGTTCCGAGTTGACGGGAAACCCGAGTTGATCGAGGCGAGGCGGGGCGAGGATGGGTAATCCAATCCACCACGCCACGACTCCGCCCCGACTTTATATTTAAATTTAAATTTTAAAATATTAATATTTTAAAAGTATTTCATTTTCTTTTTCTATTACATATAAGGTTATTTTTTTATATTTCACCAATTTTTATTTTTCTTCTACCCACTTTTTAATTTTTTTTATCTTTCACATTTTCTTAGTCTCTCCCATCAATTTGTTTTTTTTTTCAATCTTTTCAACCAATTTGATGAACACAAAGTTAATCTTTTTTCTTTATCTTTTTCTAAATATTTTACATCAATCTTAGTAGTAACTAATATTAGTTTATTTATAATTTATATTTATTATGCCATATTTTTTTATCTTATTATGCTTATTTATCATATATCAAATTTTATCTTAATAAATTTATCTTAATAAAATAATTGCATTTTAAAGGATTAAAAGAAATTAATAATTTAAACTTTTATTACTTCAAATTAATTAAATAAGAATTAACTTATTAAATATTTTCTTATAAACTATATATTGACAACTTAAAAATGAATTAACTTATATGTATAATTAAATATTTGAATACAGTATTATAATAATAATGTTATAAATATTCAAATATTTGAATACAATGTTATAATAATAATAATAATGTTATAAATATTATATATATATATATAAATAAAAAATAATTAAATATTTCTTTTACATATATATTTTAATATAAATATAATAAATTAAAATGTATATTTAATTAATAATAACTATAAATTATAAATATTTATTTATATATAAAAATACATAGTAAAATTAATTTATTATAAATATAATTATCTTTTTAAAAATAATATAAATTGGGGACGGGCGGGAACCCGAAACCCAGTGGGACGGGGATGGGGACTTAATTCCTAACCCGCGGGAATCGTGGACGGTTAAAGTTAAAGTCGGGGGCGGGGACGGGGAGGCAAAACCCGCCCCCGCCCCGTTGCCATGCCTATTAATAAGCCATTATAAAACTCTTAACGCTCTAACTCAAATTTCTAGAAACATACAATGATTATTAATAAAAAAAACGATTAGGCGTACAAATGGAATAGATTTCAATAATTTTAAAATCGTTTTTGAATGCTATGCATACTCTTAAAGATCAAATTAACCTTTCAGACTCCAGTTCAGTCAATAACAATAATATTTATAAATGGAATCCAAGCTAAATATATTAGCACAAAAATTGAAACTCGCATTTCCATTCACATGCTTTGGAAGTATACTTCATTTTTAAAAAGTGAGGACACAGGGAAAACCACTCAATACACATTGAAAGACAAATGTAACAGAAATATAACAACAATCCATCCATAATCATATTGACAAAGGAAGCACAACAATGTTTTCAAGATCCAGCACCAAAAGCTGTATAGCAGATAATAGATTATATATCTTATGTCTTACCTAGACCTAAGTTAAGCTAACTCTACTTATAATTCCTCACAGGACAAGGCTTAAGGATGGTATCCTTCAGAATACAGAACCTCCAGTCTGATGAAGCATGGCATCAATTTCATCACCATCCTCCATTTCCAACTGTCAAAAAAGTGTTCTAGTCAAAACTAAAAACTATGTGAAGAAAACTAAAATGGAATCCATGGACAGAAGTAGGAAACACAGACCTCATCAGGGGTCTGCTCAGCACGGAGGCGGCGCCCATCAAACAGAAAAGCGATAGAGTTGAAATCCACAGACTGTCGGTCACAATAAGCATTCATAAGCTTTTTCAATTGAGTGCTCCTCTTGATCCTGAAGAACACTTCGTTCCCATCCTACAACATTCAATCAGCAAATTAGCACCTCATTAACACAAGTTAATTTCACGACTTTGGTTTTATAATTGCTACAGCCAAATACTAACAAAGGAATACTTCATAACCAAATCAAAAATATAAGTGCACACACTTCACTTTGTAATATTCAATCTTCGTTGCATAGTGGAATCAGTTACTAACACCTTCAACCACATAAGTAAATCGACAAAAAATTAAAGTTAAATAGTGAAAATGTACACCCTATATTTTAGAATTGGCTATAGTTATCGTTGTTAGGCTGTGCCAATACAAATTTCAAACAATGACCAAATCAAAAGTACAGTGTATAAACAATAACAGAATGATCATTAATGCAACGGCATATCAAATGATGTACAAAGAAACAACAAACCAATTTATGAATAAGAGAAGGAAAACCTTAGAGCATTATTTAAGTTGGATTTGCATCCTCTTCCAGAAAGAAATCCAGATAAACAGTTTTTCTCCGTTGTCTATGCACAAACAAAACTGAAGCGAATTTTCTTCTGTAATAATATGGATTCAGATGCAAGAGACACACAATTGTAATAATCAAAGACCAAGGAAAAAAACGGAAAACAAGTCAACAAAATAACAAAATCAATAGGAGGAAAACAACATCAAACATCAGAGAGCAGAAATCCTTCCATAAGAATATAAACAAAGTAAAACCCTGACATATTTTACTGCAGAAAATAATGTTATCAAACTCTGTATATCATGATGATCAAAATCAAATTTCCACAATTTCCCTTGAGCGTGATTTCCGTCAGAAACATGCAACGAAGGGTCAAACACAAACAATAATAAATTACCGCAAACAACGAATCATCGTATAAAGATATATTCTTGCAGACAAGAAACAGTAAAGTGCCCGAATCCAAAAAATTCATCAGCAAAAATATCATATTTGAATTTTTACACATCCCCATAAATCCAAACCAAGAACAATACATAATCAAAGCCGCACCACAACCAAACCCCCAATTTAGTAAAAAGATAAATAAAAACTGATTAAAAAGAACTTTGACACACAATCATAATACGCAATAAAGATCACAAAAATATCTCAAACTCAAAGAAACATTAAACAACGTCCAAAATCAAGGATCTACGACACGGAAGTAACACGATCCAAGAGGATATCAAAACCCTAGAAATTAAACGAAAGGATAAAAGAAGAAATGAAAGAACGAACCTGCCCCTTGACTTTGAGGTTGATGTGTGCTCCTTGCTCGCTGGGCTTCTTGTCTTCCTCGTTGTTGTTGTTGTTGGTAACGCCCGACATCTTCGAACTCTGGAAACACTCTTCTTCTTCCCTTTTCTTACCGCCGACAAAAGCTGTGTGTGTCCACGCTCTCTACGATATCGTGATTGCGAAAGCGTGTCTTATAGAATTCCCCTTGGACAGTTCACATTCCCTCCTTAACGTGTTGATGTTGCTGGGCTTATCAGATTAATGGGCCTTTGGGCCTCTCCTATTACTGGACTCTGAGCCCATTAAATCCAAGCATGTCAGGATTTGAACTACAAGCACAAGCATTTTCGGAATTATGTGGCAAAACATGACAACAAAATTTGGTCAATACATTGTTCATGAATCATTAAATGCCAACAAAATCAAACCAACACAACGTCGTATTACGAATTACGACAGAGGTTGAAGAACAACTTCAACGAATTTACAAAAACAAAGACAAGTGGCTTGTTGTCGTGAATAGAAACACATATATTAATAAAAATAACAAATTTAGAACATAAAACATATCTTATGCTTTTTTGGTTTTTGAAATTTTAAAAATGAAAACATTTTTAACATTAGTTAAACAAAATAATTACTAAATACAAATTTATTAATAAATTATAAAAAAAAATTGTTTTTAAAAACAATAAATAAACAATCAAATTAATAATATCGAATTGATTAAAGTTTGAAGAGAGAAAGGTAGCGTAACAATTCACCTATAATCAATCAAAAGGCATTGTAATTCAAGATAAATGAGATAAAAATATTAAAATATAAGATAAATTAAGTTTAAATATGTAAGAACTTAGTTTCAAGAAATAAAAATGTTACCCTCTAAGATAAGTCATCTATAAAATATAAAATACTTGAAACTAAAATTATTAGAATATGTTTCGTCTAGCAATAAAAGTTGTTCAGTTTCAGTATCTTTTATAATAATATCATTAGAATCAATTTTCATATCTAAGAAATTGTCCGTTTTAAAGTTATAGTCAATGGCGATTTTATCATTAAAAGATATTTTGATGGATAGAGAGAATAAGGTGCATATAAATTATTTTTTACCTCGACTCATAAATAATGTTAGACTCATGAATGTATCCAAACATAATATAAAATAAATTGGGTTCTAAAAATGAAATAAAAAAATAATAATGAGAAAAGTCATGTATACATAAATAAAATTAGAATATTTAAACAAAATAGTGTAAATAAATTGATAAAATTATTACAATACAAAATAAATTAAAAACGGTTTCCTTAATTTTATTTTTTAGTTTTAAAAATAATTTTTAAAATTAGCTTTGAAATTTTATTTTTAAAAACTAATTTCGAGTAAATAAGAATCAAAAGTTAAAAAATAGTTTTGATATCCTAATTATAAAAATAAATAATTCAATATAATTATTGATAAAAATACTAATATTTATTAATAAAAAATAAAACACTTGGTTTTTTTTAGTTTTTAAAAATTAAAAAATTGAAAACTCTTTAGAACCAATAGACAAATAAGTTATAAGTCTGACGAGATAAAGACATGAATCATTAATTTTAAGCAAAAAAAAATGTTAAATGCCCAAAAATTAAACGCAAAGAAATAAAAGAATTTTAAATGTGAGAATATTATAAATGGGGATAAATTAGTTATTAAGAGATAAAAGATTAAGTTATGAAATAAATTAGGTATATAGATAAAAAATATTAACATATGAGAACAATTATGCATAACTAAGTAAATAAATAATAAGTTAATTTCAAAAATTTATTACCAAAATATTTTAAGGTTCTTTGACTGGGTTAAAATACCCCAAGAATGAATGTACCAGTTATAACAACCTTTATTAAGTTATAGTATTTTTTACAATTAAATTGAGTATATTTTTAATGGTTGTTAAATAATTTCTTTCTCCCTCTCTTTCATAACTTTTCTACTTTATCACTCCTTCTATTAAAACATTTTACTTTTCTGGGTGCCTTCACTAAGCTTGTACTCTTGTTTCTCATAATTATCTTCTTCCTCATCTCTCATAACTCCCTCCCTCTATGCCTCCCACAACTTAGATCAACGATTCCTAATCGTTTTTGCTATTGTCGAAATAATTTTTTGTTATAGATCATTTCCTTAATTTTGACCCCAATGTAGAATTTTGATGTCACTCTAATGAAGATTTGAAAATCTTTTATATTGTGATTCTTATAGACGCTCTCAAGCTTCAGAAGTCGTCATTGTCTTTAATGATTCAAACGAAATCTAATATCCCAAATTGAAAAGGTTTGAAACATTTTTTTATCTCTCTTTTCTTCACCAAATGTTTGTTCGCTAAACTCTCACTGACTCATCTTATTTATTAAAGTTTTACTTTGTTCAGGAAATATCAAAGAAAATTTGTGTTACCTTCATCTAGGTTTGTGTTGTTGCAAGTGTGGTATGTTAAGTTCTCTTTTATCTTTGTGATTTCTATTAATTTGGTGTATTTGATTGTTATGAATTATCATAAATGTTTGTATGTGTGTCTCCTTTTGAACTTATGTTTCTTTCTAAGATTGGGGTAGGTTCTCATTTGGATCTTTACCTTTTAATTCCTTGTATAGATGACGTGTTTGTAAATGGGATATATCATCTATACAACTAAGAATTTTACAACTTATTAACCACAACATTTCTCCAACACATCATTTCTTTGGCATTAGTATAACCCCACTCCTATGTTAAAAACAAATTGTGATGTCTTTGGTCTTTATATAATATTCATATATAGGATGAAAGATCAAAATTTAAAAAGTGAAAATGTAATTCCTAGTTAACGAATCCTTAAAACTTCCAATATGAAGAACAAAAATTAAAGCAAAAAAGTATTTTAAAATTATTTTCACCACATGTATCTAGCACATGGTTTTGGATTCCAATGTTCTCTTTCATGGCTATATTATTTATATAATTTATTATATAAGTGAGATGTTTGAGAGCTAATACGGTAAAAAAGAAAAATTAACCTTCTACCAAATAAAAATATTCAAATTAGAAGTCCAAAACACCATTAGGAGAATCCCAATCCAATTACTCAACTCCCAAAATTATTGAACTTCATTGATTTATTTGTGTAAGTGGATGTGTGCCAATTGCTCCAAATTTGTTTTCCAATGCATGTTACTAAGTTACATCTTATAGATTTAATTAACATTTGTAGCTACTTTGTGATATTTTTAAGGGTCCTCTATAGCCTCTCTATATTGTCAAATGTGATTTGGAGGTATTCCTTATTATAGTCAATTGGTGGATATAATTGAGAAAAACTACCATGATCGATTCTCAATTGTATTGTTTAAATGTAGGTGGGTCTGAAAACAATAAGGGGGAGATTGATGGTAATGTCAAATATGTCCCTACATTCCCAAGAGTTAATTTTGATGATGATTCAAGTCAAGAATATTCAAGACTCAAGCAAGCCCAAGATATAATTTGATAAAGGTTTTATTCAAGATTCAAACAAGTCCAAGATGATTTCTAAAGACTAGATAGAGTCTTAGAAAACTGGACATGGAGATACAAGTTGATGAAGTAATATTATGCATAAGCCTTCGAAGCACAAGTGTGATAAAATTTCGTAACATGACATTTTTCACTGTCATAATTGATTATGATGCATCAGAATTGAGAAATTGATTTTTACCCCGACATAATCGATTATGTTGAGGAGATCATCGATTATGGCAGTTTGAAATTCAAAAATATATTCGTTTTAAAGAATAAATGTTTTTGAATACATCCTGATTTTCTCTATGATATTATTAATGTCCAACGGCCATTTTCTGATGTTATTTTTCTATTTAATTAGGTTTTGATGAAAAAAAAAAAACACACCATTACAGAATTCGAAAATACAATTTAAATTCTAAGCAAGACAACAGAGATATTTTACACCTTTTGAGAAAACTCTCTTCTCTATTGCCTACTGTGCTTTCATTATTAATCACATTTGTTCTTGGAGGTTGACATTCTACAGGCTTCTACAATTTACTGTCTCCATTACCCAGGTGTGACTGTTCTTATTTTATTACCTTCATCCTTTGTGGGCTTAAGTGGTTGATTGTTAAATTTTTTGTTTAGGATTTAAGTAGTCACTGTCATTCTGTTGTGTTTTTTTAGAGTTTCCTGTGTGGAAACTGTTCATCCCTTTGATTTGTTCAGGGAGGTGTTTTCATTCTTTTATTTGTTCAGAGGAGGTGTTCATCGCTAGTGGGATTCTAGGGAGGTGTTCATCCTTAGTGGGATTCTAAGGAGGTGTTTTCATCATTTGATTTGTTCAGAGGAGGTATTCATCCCTAGTGGGATTCTAGGGAGGTGTTCATCTTTAGTGGGTTTCTAAGGATGTGATTGTCTTTTGAATTAGTTTGTTTTTTGCTGAATTGATTGTAATTTGTAAACTGAATTTAAAAGATAGTGAATTGGGGTCACTCTTGTGTTAAGAATTGTAGAGTTGGTTATACCTGAACCAGTATAAATCACTGTGTATTCTTCTCTTTCCCTTATCTCTTTTCCACTGCATTACTCTCCTTACACCCCTTATTTTTATCTCTATCTTTCTTTATCTTAATATTTTATTTCTCTAATTATATCACTTCCGTTTTATTTTTGTTCAATTTGATAATTAAAATTAAATTAATAAATATTGGATATCTTAAAATAAATTTTTAATTTGACATCTATTTTAATTTGTGCATCTATTCACCCCCTCTAGATGTCATTTGTCTAACAGAGTCAACACAACTACTTCTAAAGAAATTATGACTGATGGGTTCAGATTTACATCATTAAGTTTTACATGCTTGATTCATACATGTGATAATGATGATGAGCCATACATTCAAGCATAAGCTCAAATGGTGTATTATGTAGACAATGAGTTAGATAAATATTGGGCATACTTGTACATATAAAGCCTAGAGACTTGTATAACATGGGTGAAGATGATGTTGATAATTTTCATGAACGTAAGTCATTTGAAAAGCAACACTTCAAAATGTTATTTTCATATGAGGAA